GACCCTCAGGCAGAGATGGAGGGCCAGCGTGGAGCAGGGCTGAGGGGGTACGGGGAGGGTGCCAGCACCACTGTGGCTGTGAGTTGGAGGGACAGTGAGGGGGAGACAGGAGCCTAGTGATCAGTGAGGAGGCCACAGGAAGACCCGTCCAAGCAAGAGATGTTGATGGCCTGGGCCAGAGAGGCTGTGGTTATGAGCAGAAGAGGCTGAACTGGCTGGCCTTGGTGACGGATGTGGGGGAACGAAGATCACTGCAGAGAGGACTCACAGCCTATGAAAGCTGCAAGGGGCCCCCCGCACCTCCCCCTGGGCTCTCTCCACCCCCAGACTGCTGTCCTCCAGCAGATCCTCCTCCGCTCACACATGTCAGAGACACTGACGCCGCCACCACAGCAGCTGGGGGCCACACCTCAGAGACCACGAAGTGTGTTTGAAGGGAGATGAAAGTGCTGTGGCAACTGCTTAAAAAACAAAAACCGGGCTGTTGTCAACCCCAGCCCGAAGTCTTGGAAGAGATCACTTGGGCGGGGAGAGAGAGAGAGGAAAAAAAAAGCAATCCAGCCCAGCCCGCAGCCTGAGTGCCACCCTGCTCCCTGAATCTCCTCCGGGCCCGCATCATCTCCCCATCAGACACAGGCCACAAGAAGACAGATGCTCTGCATGGCTTGTTCACTGGCCCCAGGACCTGGTTGACGGAAGGTGCTCAGTAACCATCGGTGAATGATGGAACCCACGAAAGGTCCCTGCCCTTCTGTGCTCCATGCCCTGGGGAGGGAAGTGCTGGGGACAATTGAATGGTGGCTCTAAGGACAGGGCCCGCCAGGGTGGGGTGGAAGCATGGCTGGGAAAGGGGATGGGGGTGTTGAAGCAGCAAGGGGAAAGATGGAATGGTGTCATCACCAGGGTTATTAGTTGCCAGAAATAGAAGCCAAGTCTGGATGAAATAAGTAGAAAAATAATTCAGCCCTAACCAGTGACGCATGGGAAGTGCTGTATGGACGCCCAGCTCCCTCCATCCCAGCTGGGATAACTCTTCATTGGCTCTGGTTGCCCATATGGTGACTTGCTGGATAAAGCCCCTTTTATGGGTCACCCTCCCTCCCCTGGCCTACTTCCGCTCTCCCCTAGTGGGCTTCCTGGGGTCACTTCCAACATAATTACCTGTACTCTAATCTGGTCTCAGCCTCAGCTTCTGAAGGGACCCCATGCCTGGGCAGCTGCATCTGACTGGCAGATCCAGTCACGTGTCCTTTCCTAGTTGCAGGGGAGGTTGGAGAAGCAGGAATAGGGCATTTTCAGCTTCTGAGGGGAGGTGGCTCTGCTTCCCACCAGACTCATTGGTGGTGTGTCATCAGCACCCCTATAGGAAGCTGTCCTAATCTGTTCAGGCTGCTATAACAAAATACTCCAAACTGGGTGGGTTTTTTTTTTTTTTTTTTT